TCACACATCCTAAGCGGTTGTTCTTATCCGATTTGATTATCTTGTCCATTGTTAGCTGTTAGTTAATAAGACACATAACAATCTATTTTGTTCTTAAAATGAAAATGTTTTATTGTTTTCTTATGAGATTTGCACTTTTAAAATATTTTCATTTCGATTATAATGACACATGTATGTAAATGTGAGAGAGGTTCAATGCGTGCGCTGCCTAAATCAATAAAGTTTTATTTTTAAATTGTATAAAATAATAGTTGAATTTTCCTCTCAAAGAGTTTTATAGAAAAGTTACAGGTCTTTGAGAAGAATACTATAATATATCTAACTATTGATATTAACTCGTAACAACAAAAGAGGAATCTTTAAAAATACACGATAAGATATCCAAAATAAAACTTCAGTTTATGTTAGTCGTTTTGTTAGTCGTTAAAAAGATTTATAACGTTGTTACTCGCTACAGTATCTTGGAGTTAACATTTGGTTACCTTAATACTCTGCGAAGATAGGTATAAAAAGTTAAAGTGCATATTTTATATAAGAGATCGCTAAGCAATAGTTTGTCTGGAGATGCCCGTGCGGAACCAGGGCGGGTCGCTAGTGTAACATAGTGCAATGCAAGTATTGGGGTGACAGTCAAGAAGGTGTTAAAAATATTCGTTATTTTTTAATTTGACTTTATCCTTTTTTATGTTTTATGTTGCTTTTTTATGTTTTATGACACTTTTATAATAAACTAACGATCTGCCCCGGTTTCTCACGGTTTAATATCTGGTTTCTACAACAGCGCCACCTACCGGGTCCAATTATACGTATAGCCTACGCGAAAGTGCAAGCAATAAGTTGACAAGGTTTTAGCGTAATCTGATGAACGGTATTACAGAACATAACATACGATATTAGATTTATTTTTTGCATTCTAAAACTTAAACTGTCTCAGTACTGGACATAGCATGATAATTTTATGTCCCTATTTTTATGTTCTATACGTGTTCACCCTAGCCACGTAATAAATACCGAAATATCTAAACTTTTAAATAATAAATCTAAAATTTTAAACCAAATTAATTTTAATGACAACGCTAACGTATAATGTACTAAAAGGCACACAATTATTCATGAAAACCACCTCGCATAAAGGCCATTGACTGACAACACCCTACACCCGGTAGAGATAATAACTTTCTCCTGAATGCGGCGAAGCCTTGTGAGCTTCATCATCGTAACAAATTTACACTACCGTGCCTTCATTAGTGCGCGTCAGTTGGCCGAAATGTTCAGCGACTGCTGTGCTACCTGGTAATAATATATTGTTACTACTTATTTTACAGAATTTGGTGAAAAACGAGCACACAATTCACCTGCTGGTAAGTAGATGTTGTGGCTCATACACATCTACATTCATCCTCAATCAATGATCAAAATGCAAACGCGTGGTCACCCCTGAGGATTATAATGAAATGCCTCGATTCCAGTAAAAAGGGTCTCCAGCTCTCTACACTCGCCATAGGAAACACAGCTAATTTATGTAGGTATTCTGTAAGAGCGTGGTCCTGCCCCGGTTGAGCCGACTCATTCGTGCTACAACAGTACAAGCTGCAGCTACAATAATATAGCTGCAGCGTGGCACTACCACGTAAAATGCTACGTAGATTTTCGAAAAAAGTATTAATTATGACAGTCATTTATTTCTATATTTCAATAACTTTATTACATATTTCAAAACGCTTGATTTTTGAGAGGGAATAACGAAAATTGAGCGTTTGCGCCTCAATAAATAATTAAATAGGCAGTAGATGCATTTATTGAGCAACTTAAGCTCATACAGTTTTATAACAGAAAATAAAAATGTAGGATACATATACATCAAAGATAGAAATAAATAGGAGAATACAGACATAAAATAATCTGATTACATGAGTAAAGTGACGCTAATTTGATTTTTTAATTTGAAGTGGCTGTGTGTTTACAGTGACGGTAAGTAAATATTGCACTCCATGCACAGCTGCAGCCAACTCTAAATAAAGAATATAAAGGCTATAGATGTGTTATCACCTCTAAGCACTAAGATAAAATACTTCATAGGCTGTAAATATACTAGCCCTCTGTCTCTGTAAATATACCCCTGAGACAGGAACAAAGCAGTGCAAGCTGGCTACTATTTTGACGACAGAAATATTCAAGAGGGTGGAGCCTATCTACCCAATTGGACTGTAAAGGTGAAAAGTCGTCCTACGCCATGTGCCATAGTTATGGCAAAGTAACTTTGAATTATTTTCACATTATGGTGGTTCATATAGAGCAAATGAACACAAACAGCATGATTTTTTTAATCTCGCGCATGCTTTTGCTAGCCAAACCTTTTAGTCTATAAAATAAGACGCACACTACTGGTAAAGAAGACTGTCTCTTTCTGTTGTCATATAATCTAAGTTCATCATGCGCGGAGAAGAAAAAAAAAGGGTTATTAAACCTCTTGTCTTTAAGTTTGAAGATAAGTTAATAGAGGCGATAGTTACTGCAATCGTAATAAGCGACTAGTATTTGTATTCAAAGTTGAACGGTCTTACAAGTTCACATCAAATCATATTGTAATACGGAAAAGACTAAAATATCACTAATCTTTCCTGATTGCTTATTTTATGGGAGTAAATTTTACTACTTACTACTTACTATATAGTCCTTATGGCAGAATCGCTGGAGGACCTAAGCACTATGCTCAATGACCTCAATGGTGTCTCCCAATGGATAGGTCTTAAGATGAACATGGACATAACAAAGATCATGTTTAATGTCCATGTCACACCTATGTCGGTAGTTGTTGGCAGCACTATGCTCGAAGTTGTTGACGAGTACGTTTACCTGGGACAAAGAGTTCGACTAGGTAAGTCCAACTTCGACCAAGAGGTCAATACGATTTAATTCGGCTGGGTAGCGTTTGGGAAATTACGACACATCTTCTCGTCAGGTATACCCCAATCTCTGAAAACTATATTGTACAACCAGTGCGTGTTACCAGTGATGACTTACGGATCTGAGATGTGGTCCTTCACTGCTGGCCGTATGCGGACGCTCAAGGTCGCTCAGCGAGCTATGGAGAGGGCTATGCTCGGAGTTTCTCGTTTCTCTGCGTGATAGACTCAGAAATGAGGATATCCGCAGTAAAACCAGAGTGACCGACATTGCCCAACGGATAAGTAAACTAAAGTGGCAATAGGCCGGCCATATAGCTCGAAGAACCGATAACAGATGGGGAAGAAAGGTTCTCGAGTGGTAGCCTCTTACCGGTAGGCGTAGTGTAGGGCGACGCCCTACTAGATGGAGTGACGACCTGGTAAGATATGCAGGAAGTCGATGGATGCAGGTGGCTCAGGACCGTGCTTTGTGGCATTACTTAGGGGAGGCCTATGTTCAGCAGTGGACTTGTGAAGGGCTGTAATGATGATGATAATGAAATTTTACTGACGAGCACATGGTTCACCCGATGGTAAGTGGTTGTTGGGTCCACTAGGCATCTACAACTATCGTTAATTACAGTGTAGATTAGTTGTTATCGCTGAGGACTAAGTTACATTGCCTCGTTACCAGTTATAAGAGTCCCCGTTTCTTATTAATCCATATTTATTTAACACTGGCATTCTGTTAAAGTGTTTGCGAAATTTGATATTGGCTGTTAAATTCAACACTTTACATTATAGTTTGCATATTTTCTGCAGCGCTTCTTTTTGAAACAGATTATAGTTTAAGTCTGAGACCATCCATCCATCCATCTTTTTTTAGTTTCCCTCTGTCGCCTCTTACGACTTCCACGGGACAATGTGGGGAGACTAATTACGTAAGTAGTTTATATACTACTTTTTGTAATAAGGCCGAATTATATTGCTCAATGCAGATTTCTCTAAAAAACATCTAAACGTGGAATAATTATTCATGGGCCGTGCAAATTATTGCCAGTGCGAGAATCGAAACACATACCTTCATCGCAGTCAGTCACGGTGGTCAAACGTTCAGGATCTTTGTTCCGACACTGTCATGTCTCATATTTTATAATCTTAACGATTAAACTATTTAATAAAATAAAAATTTCAATAATAATGTTAATTGAAGTAGGTAATGTTTTCTTTTACTTACACGAAAACTACACATTGAATAAAACCACTTTCAAATGAAAATACTCAAAACGTCATTAATGAATAAAGCGCTATACAACCTATAAAGGTATTTCTATTAAATAAAGTAACTTCAAGTGAAAACACCTACTTCAAACTGGGACAGCTTCTTACATATAAAGCGTTAGTCCGGTAGTACATATAATATTGCTGCCACATATCGCACACCTAGATCTAAAGAGAGCTAATTCAAAAATCTCATTTTTTGAGTTACGCATTCCATCGAATTAAATAACTCACTACCAAGCACCCAATAAAACAGATTCAAAAATAGTTCCATTACTCAACGCAAGATGACGTTAAAACCCATTTTCTTGAACGAGCGAGCCACGCTTTCCACCACTAAAACAGGGACATCGCTAGTTGTAACCAGTATTTTATGCGGAACGCACGTGCCCGTTGTAAACAAATCGGAGTTATTTTGAGTTGATTCCGTGTTCTTGAGTTAAACAGAGGTTTTGACTTAACATTATTTTGAGTTATCGCTGTTTTTATGGTTAGTGCTGAGTAAATAATAGCTACATTTTGAGTTGAACCAGTGTTGATAGTAAGGTAGGCAATGTTCTTGTTTTTGTTTTGAATTGTTACCATGTTGTTATATTTTTTTTAAATTTGTAGTTAAGCCTGTTTTGTTAAGTCATTTTTAAACTCGTATATTTCTTTAGAAAACAAATGAAATTGAACTTTTTTGCCAGTGGCGATTGGAGTCTGCTCATCTTAATAATATTTTATTTTTATCCTAGTAACTACACAGTTTGTTGTGTTTTTACTGAACAGTTTTTAAGTTAGAGCTGTTTAGATGGTTTATTTGTTTTCTTTTACTATTTCAGAAAAATAATGAATCGTGGATGTGTTTTAGTAAACATGGTTGAAGAAAGGGACAAAGAAAACATCAGTCCTAGCTTACTAACCCAACCAGATACTAGACAAGAGTTTGAACCAATAATACAAAAGGAGAGAGATTCATCTAACGCAACTCATGCAGCCTTATCCGTGGATGATAAATCTATTCCGAGCACATCTAAACAACAGCAGGCTAGTACACCAAATTATTATATTTCACCAATCCAAAGTGACCAAAGTGACTTTGATGACTCAGGTGAGGGATCCCAATTTCCAATTGAATAATAAAAGTAAGACACTATCTAAGATCGCACCTTTTGGTTCATTGCTGTCTTCATCCAGCACTAGCAGTAATAGCTCTAAGAGCTCATCACGTTCTAATAGCTCGTCAGCCACCGAAGATGATAGTGCGCATTTACAGCTTGACCCTCAAAATACTACGGTAGCTGAAATTAATTCCCAAGAGCTCGTTATAGAAGAAAAAAGGGTAAAAAGAGGGTACGAAAACCAACGATGTGAAAATCGAAAGTTGCGAAAGTGCTGAGAAATTCTGGTAAAGCCTACCAGTCTATCTCAAAATCAAAATTACAAGTGCCAGAAAGAAAAGTCGGCCTGCCCTGTGGAGAAAAATGTCGGCTAAAATGTAAAGATAAGATCAATGAAATATAAAGGCAACAGCTTTTTGATGCATTTTGGGAACTCAGCAATCTTGAAAGGCAGAGAGAATTTATAGTGCGACACTCACAAAAAATAAAACCTAAATATCGATTCTCAAGCACACAAGATTTTAGAGCTCTTAACACTGCGTTTTATTTGGAGGTTGCTAGATCCAAAATTAGAGTTTGCAAACAGTTTTTCTCGGGTTGAGTTATAAAGCTATACAAACGGCACTTTTCAAGGTCTTCGAATCAGGAGTCATACAAGGAGATTTGAGAGGAAAACACGGCCATCAACCAACTATTGATCCACAAATCAAACAGAGCGTTATTGATTTTATAAATTCTATTCCAAAGATTGAGTCTCACTACTTGAGAGCTCATACGAAAAGAGAGTATATTTCAAGTGAGAAATCATTGGCGGATATCTACAGAAATTACAAACAACTTCGTGAAAAGGATGGTTTAGCTATTGCCACGTCTTCCACATTTAACAGGATATTCAACACTGAATTCAACATTTCTTTTTTCGTACTAAAAAAAGATCAATGCGATCTGTGCGAAAGGTATAAGAATTCAGACTCAGAAGAAAAACGCAACTTAAGCCAAGAGTATGAACAGCATCAGAATGAAAAAGTTTTGGCAAGAAATGAGAAAGATAATGATAAAAGTAGTGCCGATGGTACTATCGTAGCAGTTTACGACTTACAGGCAGTTTTGCAGATTCCAAAGGGACAAATATCACTATTTTTTTTATAAATCCAGGATCAACTGTCAATTTTACCATCAGCGATTTAAGGGCAAAAGAAGTTATGTGCTACTTTTGGGATGAAACCGAAGGAAAGAGAGGACCTATTGAAATTGGCAGCTGCATACTCAACTACGTTAAAGCTCAGGTAGAGCAAAATCCTAATAAAGAAATTGAAATAATTTTTTACTCGGACAATTGTGGCGGTCAACAAAAAAATAAGTTTCTGTTTATTCTGCCTATGCCTACGCTGTCAACAAGTTAAGAGCCAAGTCTATTACTCACAAGTTTTTAGTACGTGGACACTCACAAAATGAAGGGGACAACGTCCATAGTGTCATTGAGAAACAAATTAAAAGATACTTGCAGTGGGGTCCAATCTATATACCAGAGCAATATAAAACGTTGATTGGTACAGCAAGAAAGACTGGAAAACCTTACACAGTCGTAGAAATGACGCATGACAAGTTTTATGATGTTAAAGCTTTGCAGGAAACGTGGGGCACAAATTTCAATACCGACGAAGAAAGAAATAAAGTCAAGTGGCATGACTTAAAGGTTCTTAGGGTTGAAAAAATCACCCTGAAGCGTTTTTCTATAAAACATCATTTACAGAGGAAACGTTTAAGAAAGTTTGTGTGCGAAAGAGGATTCTTCGCGTAAGAGGATCCGGATCGGCCATAGGTATAGATCAATCGTTATTTTCAATTGGTATAACACATGCATACACTGAAAAAATTGCATTGTTTGAAAAGACATAAAAGAATTGATTGATAAGAACGTCATTCCGAAATCCTATTATGATGTTATTATAAATATGTTTTGGGTGAACTGATAATTGACTACTTTATTCTTATTAAAGTGTTTGCATTCTTAACTACCTACGAAGAATATATACACCAAAAAATGTTTCTGATAAATAGTAAAAAACCAAAATTGTTGTTGTTAATGATGATCTCAAAGTGCCATTATTAGTATTTAAAGGCGTAGTTTAGCTATTTTGTTGTTAATAGAGAAATGTCATACTTAATTAAGTCAAATGTGATTTTAGATGAGTATTTGAAATAGTATTTCATGGAAGGGAAGGTTCCTCATTATGTTTATGTTGTATTACTATTTTATTATGATAATTTTATTTGAACCTATTAGGTAATTAAGGGTCATAAGAGGCTGTATTTTTATAGAAAATATTAGGTATAGGTATATTATTAAAAAAATATTTCATTTGATTACATAATTTTGTGTTTTCTTGCTAAGTCATCAACCAATATACCCCTACTGCTGGTCACTGACCCCTCTATCAGTTGGATTTTTATTGAATTAATTCTAAATGCTGCTATATTTAAATTAATATTGACTCCTCAAAAGGGAGCCAACTAGGAACTTAATTTACCAACACAGGTTCAACTCCAAATAAAAAAATATATACACACATTCATTAAGCAATACGGAAATAACTACAAAACTCCAATTTTCAGACTCAATTATGATTAAAATACATGATTCATTATGACATCTTTCCTCTATTTGCATTTAAAAAGATTTGATCAATTCAGAAAACTCCTGCGGGGCACAGGGACACTGTAATCAGTTTATAACCTTTTCTGAAAAAAATGATTTTTTGAGTTAATCGCTGTTTAGATCTAGGTGTGCGATATGGGTTGGTATTGTAAAATACCACGTAGCAACTTTAGAAGGTATGTTAAGAGGCTTGTGTATGAACCAAATATGTTTACAGCCAATCTTACCAGTCTCCAGCACATGTGTAAATTAACTACATAACTTAACTATACTTAAATTAACTAAGCTTTCGGTCTTGCACAGGATTTACATGGCTTAATATCCCTTTTTCTTTCTCCATAGGACTACCAGTTGCTCGGCTAGTGTACAATTGTTGTCGATATATCACGCATTAAAAAAATTACTTTGGAGTTCTTTATACGTACAGCAAAAGAGTGGAATAATTTTCCAATATCTTTCTTTCCCACCCATTACAATGTATGTAGGTGTCTTCAAGATAAAAGTGAATACGCTTTTATCAAGCTAAGACAGTGCGTTTTACCATCTTTGACTACATCGCTACATAACATCAGGATAGTAATCAAGCACTGGAATGTAATAGTTAAAAGAACAGATTTCCATACTACGTACTATAACGTATTAAAGATGAAATTTCTAGGCTATTATTATTAAACGTCATTAAAGTGTATTGTTACTGCTTGCTTGTAGTTACAGAACAAGTTTTTTATATTTTATATGTAAATTTAAAAACCTTACTTGTAACATCCGATCAATAATATAATCAAACAGTCATTTCTTTGCAAAAAAAATCAATCATATGAAAAAATATCATGCTTAGATGTGCGTCCAAAAATAAAATTTTGTTAATATAATTTATCTTGAATAGAGCCACCCTCATATCCACTATCTATAATTTCCGTCACAATTCTTACAGGATTAGAACTTTATTACCTACCTGCGTTCATTAAATACCTAATTGGGACCTACTCAGTTCCTACCTTTCTTTTAAGTTAGCTACGTGTTAATTATTATCATCATTATTTGTTCTTTTAAAAAGCGTAATTAACATCAGAATTATTTTTCCTTTATACATTGATTTTGTAGTCTATGAAAGTAATTTTGTATAATTTAGAACGTCTTCGCTTTTAAAAACACATTTCACTGCAGCAAAAAGCACGATTATATTACAACTAGAGCGCATGAGAAAAGTGTAACCTTCAAATTAAATGAAATATAAAAAACAAATACTTTATGGAAAATGATTTATTTAATATTATAATTTAATCTACAAGTTCGGTATAAAATATAAGAAAATTTAATTTAATAGTAAATAAATATAACAATCTTTTTAATATATATATAAGACACAAAGATATTATATTTTCTTTCGAGTAAAATTATAATAGCTACACCTATTTCACTTTATCGAACAACTGATTGACACCCAAGGTGAAAGGTACGTAAAATAGACGCTAGATGGCCTGAGTTATGAAATCTTGAATTTTTAATGAATATTTTTTTCAATATGGTTAATTATTGTATTTGTTAATTTTTTACTCTTTACTGCCGCTGCCAAGTGGCTGCAGTTTCTACATGAAAATAATACATTATGAAAAGTGAACCATACAGATGGGAAACGTACGGAACTACCTACTACCAATTTTGATGGTCCTTTTTTTATTCAAATTAGTATTACTTGTACTCATTTATTTTATTCAAACGGCATATTTTAATCCGACCATGTTTAAAATATCTAAAGAAGTCTTCGACAATGTTATATACTTTTAATAGTACGGGATAGCCATTAATTTTTACGACGAGTAGATTAATTTCCATTCGAATGTTTATACTCTTTTCGATATACCTTATATAGTACGTACTAATTACAAAAGAAATTATATCAATTTTACCTATTACGAAATTGAGGTTTGGCCGTTCGTCACTGCTTGTTTATTCCATAGGCACACGACACCTTCGCACCTTGTTGAACAAAACGCGTAAGTGACGCCGTTTCGGCGGCGTTTACGACTTTTCTCGCAAGCATTGAGCTATAATGATTCCTATCTCATTTTTTCCCACGTTAAATCTTTTGAATTTATGTGGCTGTCTCTTTTTACTGTCGCTTTTTCGTTTCATAGACTTTCAAATCACAACGATGCTAAAGAAGTTTTCACTTCAATAATTATTAATAAATAATGTTTTTTGTTATCATCTGATAACGGGTGTGATAAAATACTACTACAAAAATTTCATTTCATTTAGTATAAATTTCGACAGAGTGGACATGGAGTACATTTCAAAAGATCAAAATTGTAAAAATGAAGAATTTTAATCAATTAATTTACCGAAGTTCAAAGTAG